AAATATATCGTCAAGAAAACGGAACCATAAACTGGGTTTTAAAGAACGTTGGCTTAAAAAGTCATTTTCAAATTTACCCATAAAAAGCGAAGCGTAAGAGGGTGCCATGGAACTTCCCATTGCTGTTCCCATTTTTTGTATATAATGATCACCGTTGAACTGAAAGTTATTATTCTCTAGGACTAAGGAAAGAAGTTTACATATTTCATTACATGAAAGTTTTTTGGGGGGATTTCTCTCTAAAAAATGTCTACAAGATTCTACTCCGTCTGTATGGGGAATGTTCGTATATAGAGATGTAACATCTAACGTAACAAGGTAATGTTCTCCTGACCCAAGAGAAGTGGTTTTCAGTTTGGCAATAAAATCAGAGGTGTCCCTGATATACGAAGGTAGATTATGTGTTAATGGCTTTAAAATGGAATCTAGGTACTTGGAAATATTTTCTGTTCTAGATTTACAACCGGAAACGATCGGACGTCCAGGATAACCTAAAGGGTACTGTTTACTATACTGCTTATGAATTTTTTTTTTTTTTTTTTTTTTTTTTACTACTCGACAGTGTAATACGCTCTGGAGTATTCGGTAATCGACATTGCTAAAATATTATTGCATTGATTAAAATGATATTCATCCGCGTAATTTGAGATTGTGGATTTATTGACAATTCTATAAGTTAACGCTACTTTTAAACTTTGAATGCGTTGTAATTTGTTGGATACTTGTAACAAAATAAAATATTTCTTTCTTTTACATCGCTAGTTTAAAACTGTTTTGAGAACTACTTGTTGTTAGGTTTGTCGTGAAATTTCTGTGCTAGAGATTGAATGTCACAATTGTATTTACTGATCTGCGACCAGAAAATACAAAAATGGAATAAACGGAACTAAATAATAAAAGGATTCAAAGAAGCATGAAGATATGTTCATACGTTTTGCCAATTAAGTATGAGATAAGTGAAAACTGTGAAACAATACAAAATCCATAGATGAATTAAAGCTCTGTAATCCAAAATCAACAAAATTTACTGGAAGAGTACCGATAAATTATGTTCCCAAACCCATCTCCTTAAAACAGTTCATCAATTACATGTATTACTATGTCATGATTTATGTACACTTTCAACTCGCGTAGATTCCTTCCACGAATATCGTTTATGGTTTGTCCCGTTTCCATTAAAAGATAAACATGGGATTTTTGTTTCCTTTTGTTTAATTGTCACATATTACTTTTATGTAAATTTATTGGTTTTGTAATCGGTGTCAGTTCGAACTTATAATAAAGGACGCCTGACATATTTATACAAAGGGCTTCTTGATATATTGTGTTTAAAAGAATCCGTATATATTTGGAAAATACATGCAGCATTGTGACTGTCGTCTTTAAGGAATATGAGTTTAATACTTAGTTGATGCTCGACATTATGTAATAATGGCTCGAAGATGTACATTATGGCCTCAGGACCGCATGCCTCTTTTTTTAGAACTGATCATCAATATCGTGTATATCTATTTCGTAATTAATGCATTTTTTGTTGAAAATATATCTTCAATGTTAAACTTTGTTGATAGCGATTGATTACGTCATCTAAACTTAATTTCTTTTGTGCAAGTGACAGCAGTTCATGCAACGACAGCAGTGGTCTTAAAAGTCACTGCGAGTTGTGTCTGTATACAAATATTACAGAAAATATGTAAATTCGATGATGATCAAATGAGGAAAGAAAACGAACAAACGAAACTCTCCTGAAATGATTCGCCCCAATAATATTTTTTTTTCAAGAATCATAAGTCTACAGTCGAAACAATTTTTTCATAGATACAAATCAAAATGGCATGCCGGAAGCTACCAAACATCATTATTAAAGGAATATGTAATTGAAAAGAAGCGACATGCCTGCATGTACCGGCGGATATACCTCCTCTTATATCACTGTCATATATTTATATCAATCTCGTCGCAGGTTCGCTTTATAACAATTACCTGGAATTGTTTTATATAAGTCTATATAGGAAACGATTATTCGTATAAGAACCTATATATTTTGTGCGGCAGGGGGTCAACAGTAAGTCTTCTAGACTCTTTTAATGGCGTAGATAATTTAAATTTATCTTGCATTCACGCAGTATTTTACAAGATCTGTCATTGAAATATTGGTTTGTGAAACTATATATTTGACTGTTGAAAAATGTATTACCGCTAGAACTGTAAGGGATTATTAAATTGTAGGCGCCAGTACTTTTTTTTTATCTCGGCTCAGAATATCTGTGATTAAAGTAATGCTTTAAAATTGTTAAATTTTAATGATCCTCTCCACAGAAATTCTCGAAGACAAATTGTGGTTTAAGCTCATTTCTTCCTAGAAAACGGGGAAAAACACATTTTGTTAAATTTTGTAGCAGGAAATTATAAGGATGCCGTATAAGTTTTGTCTAAAATTGTCATACATCACGTGGGTTTATGTTTCTATGGCGACACGTGAAGCATTATTCATTTTCTTATTTCTTTTTGAGAGATTTGTCAAAGATGTTAAAAACCAATTTTGATAACAAACGGTAATCATTCTTGAAGCTCCAGGGAAAGGATAAACAAAAATGTTTAAGCACTTTTATGTTGCTTTTTCCCCGTTACATTTATGAAAGTCATTTACGAAATGTTGTATGGCTTCATCTTTATTCGGAGGAAAATGAGGAAAGTGTATTCTTCATTTATAAAAGAATATCTAAAAGCATCGCCTCAATGTACACGAAGACTAATAAGAAGAATTATATAAATTCTAAATTATGGATGTACTAAAATGACCCAGTTTATCAAAACGTGTGCTAAAATAAGGTGAACACCGGTTTTAAGTGAATCTTTCAACACTTACCACTATGAAATACCTTAAATGGACTTGCCCATAATTGAATACCGACTTAGATATTTATCATTTCAAAGGAAGATCTCGAAATATATCATTGAGCCGCGTCACGACAAAACCAACATAATGGGTTTGCGACCAGCATGGATCCAGACCAGCCTGCGCATCCGAGCTGTATCAGTTATCCAAGTCTTTCTTACCAAATAAAAGTAAGAAATGATAGCGAACAGCGTGGATGCGCAGCTGCGATTGCGAGGCTGTCTGGATCCATGTCGTTTATCGAACGCATTATATTGTTTGTCATGCGGCTCATTGACTTGATAGAGAAAAATGTTATATTCATAAAGCATTTAGTTCGTGTTAGAAATATATACCGTCATGACAAAACCCAAAGTTAATGGTTTAAGCATGACAGCATGATGGATCCAGCCAGCCTGCCATTTCAGACACGATCGCAGTCTGATCAGGTACTGTGTTGTTACATAAGCCAAAGTAGGAACTATGGAAAGGTCCTGACACTCCGGTTGCCAGCTGGTCGATCATTGTGCAACGCTATGTGTTTCTGAGCAGCCTATCATTTTGACATGTCTAGCTGCGAGCTCGATTATATTCACTAATATGTTGGACATGTAAACGTATAATAAAGACTTTGGATATAATAATTGTGTTCTCTTTCTGCTTTCTAATGTGTGTTTGTTAACTTTTATATCTATTACAGCACATAGTTTAATCCGTATTAGTACTTGATTTCCAGTGTTTAATACTTCTGACGTTACATTAAATCCAAAACAAGCAGAACAGGATGACTCAAATTTTGTGGACGTAAAAATTGTAACGGTAAAAGTTTGTTTGTCGGGAGATTAGCTTGGAAAAAACGAGTTCCAGAACTTTCAACTGTTTAAAAATTTCGGCTGTGGTACGTGTACCATATATATTTTTACACAGTCTTTACAGTTCATGAATCTTCGGAATGTCATTTATTTGCGTGCTTCATCGTGCTTTTAATAGAAACATTGGCATTTACAAGAGAGAGGCCCATCCGGAGAATTAATAATTTATTGCATTTGTCCGAATGGAAATGGAATATTCAAAACTTGAGTTGCCTTTAACATTTGGCTCGGGTAATGGAATTAAACGATACTATTATAAGGACTAACTAAGCTTTACTTTATCTCATAATACAATTGACTAGTCCCCGGGAGATGCTTTGGTAGTTTAGCGCGGAGGAAGGTAGTCTAGTACTGGTGTAACTCTCCAGGAACGATGGTTAGGAAACTACCCGCCTATATGATTGAAATACTGTTGGAAAAAGGCGTAAAATCAAAAAGCAATCAAACAAACAATTGACTAGTTAACAGCTGTAAATCATTTTGCGATGTATCACTCATGGTTTATCATTTCACGGTTAGAGATGTCACGGTGTGTCATCTTGCCGCATATAATATTACGACTGTTCATCTGACGGTTTATCATCATGATTTGCCTAGTCCATGACTTATTATCTTATGATTTGCCTAGTCCATGACTTCTAAGCTCATGATTTGCCTAGTCCAGGACTTATTATCTCATGATTTGCCTAGTCCATGACTTATTATCTCATGATTTGCCTAGTCCGTGACTTATTATCTCATGATTTGTGATTCGCCTATTCCATGACTTATTATCTCATGATTCGCCTATTCCATGACTTATTATCTCATGATTCGACTATTCCATGACTTATTATCTCATGATTTGCCTAGTCCGTGACTTATTATCTCATGATTTGCCTAGTCCGTGACTTATTATCTTATGATTTGCCTAGTCCGTGACTTATTATCTCATGATTTGCCTAGTCCGTGACTTATTATCTTATGATTGGCCTAGTCCGTGACTTATTATTTTATGATTTGCATAGTCCGTGACTTATTATCTCATGACTTGCCTAGTCCGTGACTTATTATCTCATGATTTGCCTATTCCAGGACTTATTATCTCATGATTTGTCCGGCTTTCTTCCACCATCTCATGATTTGCCCTGTGACATGGTTCTCGTAGATCTTCCATTGTTAAGTAAAACGATAATGAAATAAGAAGGAATATTTTATTTTGTTTTGTTCGGGCCTCATCATGTGCTATCACGGGTATAAATACTGGCTCAAGCCACATTTATATCACTATACTTTTTGGACCTTTCCTTACGGGAAGACGACATTTAAGCAGACGATAAGAATGCAGCTTCAACTTTTTATAGCTTTGTGTGTGGCCCTATGTGCTGTTAATGGTCACAGACCGGGATTCCAGCGACATTTCCCTCCAGGTATGTGATATTTGTTTATTATAAGAATTTTTCTATGGGCAGGGTCCGGGCGCTACGGTGACAGTAGTTCGACAAAAGAACGCGAACGCTTCAATGGCTAGACATAAGTGACTCTAGCCACCACTCATCATAAGCGCGGTGTCTCTGGCTCTAAGGGTTTTGACGCTCACCGAACCTAGACATGCGCAGTGCATCGACTATAGAGCCAAACAATTGTCAGCGCCTGAACCCTGTCATTATCAGATGATGTTAACTTTATATTTTGTGATTAGTGTTATCATATGATAAGATCAACCAGTATACGAAGGAAACTGGTCTGATCAGATATGTCTGTAAGTCTGACCGGTTACTTGTTAATATTTACTGTAAAACCAGTGAACAAAACTCATCCATAGGAGGCCGGACATGGGCCTTTAAAGACAAGTTGTCTTTATTTGGAGGTTATTCTACCGAATTTAATTTATGAATTTGTTAAGTCTTAGATTGGCTTTAGCTACAGAGATATTTTTACGCAGGTGGTCTTTAACATAGATTTGATTGTATGTGTACGAAAATGATACGACTTTCCCAGACATTTGTAAAGTTAATTTTGTTTAAACTATAATTATACAGATACTCTACAATATAATTTGATCCTTTTATAACCGTTTTCTTGCTTTGATTCTGTTTAATACCCACCGTAGATCTGGAAAGGGGAATATTGCAATGCCATTCTGCGTCAGTGTATCCGTTTCAATGTTTTTGAATCGGTTTGTCACTCATTTGATCTTGAATAGTACTATAATTCATGATTTCACTATGCATGAAAATGAATAAAATTGTAATTCAATATTTATAACGCAACACTTGATATGAAATTCCATGATTCCATTAATAATAAATGAGGCCAATAATATTGTAATGGTGTTTTATCACAAGGACATGTGCTTGGAACTTCTGCTAAATTGTTATAAGCAATGATACCTGATTAAACTCCACTCGTATCTTAAAGGAACATTATAGGAAGAAACAAACGTGAGTTATATCTCGCGTCGAGAAATATATTCAAAATAGGTTGGTTGAATTGATATCTTTAATATGTTTAGTTCTCAATATGTTCTTAAATATGCACATCCCTCGAAAGCAGTGAAAGTTTAAAAATCGTTTCAAAGCCAACTGTACGAAACGGACGCATGCACAATATCACTACTTCATTATGGATAAGTATAATTTCATTTTTTGTAATTTCAGGATACAGGATGATTGGTAACTTTTTGGAAAGAGAATCGGTTGGTCCATCTACCCCGGAAAATGTATCGCAAAATCCCACATTGGATATTTCCACAGAAAACATATCGCCAGAACCCACATCGGAAAGCTCCCCGGAAAACATATCGCCAGATCCCACATTGGAAAGTTCCACGGAAAACATATCGCCAAATCCCACATCGGAAAGCTGGTCACCAGAGACGACCAGCGAGTATCCCGATAATGATTATGATAGTGAAACAGAAGGTAGAGAAGAAGACTTAGAGGATTGGCCATATGGAATGATAGAAGGTAAAAGCTAAACTGTCCTTTTCATTTCTTTGGCAAGATAATATTCAGTACATTTATAGTGGTTTTAAGTATTTCGTGTGAAAGTCAAAACACCACTTTTTCTGCCTTTTATAACATATAATTTCACATCCAGCGTTACAAAACCTACATGTATATGGTGTTTTATGTGCTATAATATTATATATTATAGAATCGTCATTTAACGTGTTTTTGTCTCAACTAAAATGATGGAAAAATACATCTGAGACATAATGTGCCTTAATCATTTAAAAATAAGAAATTGCTGTGGTTTATAGACGGCTAGAATCACTCCCACCCTTCCCCACACAGTGGTTTTATCACGATTGAAAGTTTGTAAGGTCTAGAAAAGTCCATTCAGTCGTACATACATTTTCTGAAAGTAAGCGCTTTCACTATCCTCGATACGAACGATTCCGTTTCGTCACATTTTTGGACACTTTTTCATAAAAACAGGAACGTTTTAAAATAGTCATCGGATTAAAATTTAGAGACATATCTGTGATATTTGCATAGCAGTATTGAGATCATTTTCACTTTAAAAGCAATCGATACTGATATAGGAGTCCGCATCTTTTACAGCTTACAAATTAAGCAGACTTTGAGAAATTGAGCCGCCCTCAATATTAGTTTTCTATAGAATCTAAGTTTTTAAGGATCTTCTCAAAATTGCATTCAAAGGTTTTTTGTACATCGGAATTCAAATTTAGATAAATTCCTTATTATATCTTAATTGTTTTATAGCTCTGCATATTCTTTATTCTTTATTTTAGTGACAAGCGTCATTGGTAAATGTGTGATAGCAAAACATATGTCACAGAGGATGCGCAGCAGGAAACGTAAGTTGACACATTTTAAAACCGAAATGATAATGTTTCATTTGCAAATGTCTTCAATCATTTTTAAATATAACGTTTAATATAAGCCATACATCCTTTTGTTGACATATTTTGGTTTGTGTATTTTCGTTACGAATATTCAAATATAGAAAACTGTCCAAACAATTTGCTTTCATGTCTGTTTTCCCACCTACATGACTGGGTGTAGATATTTGAAGGAACATGGATTCTCATATGTCCCTATTATACAACCAATTACTGTTGAATGTGTTAAAAAACGTAAAATTTATAATTTTTGTACGTAAATATTTTGCAGCCAAAGATGGCTTTATGGATCGTGTTTGTCCACGTATGTTTGAAGCTGCCAAACTTTATACGGTGAGATGGAATATTATTATATAATAAATACTTCCAAGTTTGTATTTAACCCATTTCCCGATATACACGCCTTTTTCACACCCCATTTGTTTTTCAAAATTGTGAAAAATGCCTTATTTAGGCCCCCAACACATGTTTTTGTTTGAGAAATGTTGCGTAAAAAAGTGACCACTTTTTCGGCGCCACTCCCCATCCAATAGATTTATCAGGGGGTTTCCAGAAGGGGGATGTGCCCCCTTCTGATTGGGGGGGGGTTGAAGGGGGCGGGGTGGTAGACCCCTGATCGCCAAGAACATTTTGGACTTGTGAGAGGCTAAAAATGACCCCAGGTCGATCATAAGGTAACGCGTAACCAACTCTGAAAAGCCTTTGACTCTTTATCAATGCATTGAGAAGTTGCAGCACTTTGAAATCAATTTTGATGGATAAAATCAACGCAAAAATAGTGATTTTTGGCAATTTTGAGATGTCCCCTCCTTGTCATGGTAACAGGAAATAAGACTGAGCATGTCGTTACAAAGGCAATGGTCTAGTCAACATTTGTGCCAAGTTTGATTTGAAGCATTTTTTGTTTTATAGCAATTGGAATTGTATCGGTTTTCAATGAAAACAGCCATTTTTCACAAACTGCTCATGAAGTAATGGGTTTAATATCGCTTAACCTGAGATTTCTGGAATCAATCGCACCAGTCCGCTACCTTGAACTAACTAGAGTCTGAGATTATAAAGAAATTTATCTCCGGCCAAACTCAGATCTCGGGCATTATTTCATTGAACAGAAACTGTAACGGTATGTACACTAACCAATGACAATCTTAAGGTTTATCTGGAGGTATCACTCAGTTAGGTCAGTCTCGCATTGTATCATGGCCATCGATTGGCTGAAAAAAGTGCAGGGAAAACCGTAAGATTCAATTGGACATGAGGTGATTGGATGAAAATGGGTTATTTTGAAGTATGAAAACTAAATTAGAAAACCAGCACTATATTGTTTTCTGAAGAAAATGAAATAGTTCATAAGTCTCTATAATAAATGTTTGACTTAGATATTTGCATTTATAAAACGTGTATGTCAGTCCTGTGATCAGCAGAAAATTTCAGTGAAAAGGGGGTGATCCTCTTTGAAGTCATTTTGCCAAAATTTTATATAACAGGATCATTTTTATGTGTCGGGCATTTCAATCTGCTAGAAAAATCACCTCTTTAACATGAAAACTCCATTTGAAGATAGGATTAGGGACTATTTCTTATGATGCGAGTGTCTGACCAGAAGTTTTATAACTTTGAGGTGAGTACTGGTATCACGCAGAAAGTCATGATCGTACTGAGTAGGAAATGAACAAACGCTCTCTTAACCAAGAAAAGAAAATAACTTTAATTTACCATTTTGTATTAATACACTTTTGAGACTTTTTTCCCTGTCTTTTCATTAGCTTTTCTCTCTCTAAAAAAATAAAAAATAAAAGAACAGTTAATGATTGCTGTTGCACCGTCGTTATCGTAGTGGTCGTCGTAGTCGTCATGCAAAAACTTGCAATGCCTATCATGACAATGTGCAATTGTTAAACAAGGGCATAGTGTTTGGATTTGTTCGTGGAGTTATGCCCCTTTTAACTTATGATGCGTTTACACGACTTTCGGTGCTCTTGTTTTATTTTCAACCATAAATTTGGAGAATCGAACCAATATAACTGGTTAAAGTCGAAGCCTACTACCGATAACTAATTTATTCCTAAGCTACCAGTGCTGACCCAAAAACAACCGGTCTATTTGTGCCGTCTGATCATGGTTGGCACTGTCTGTCATAGTTTAAGTATGTTCTACGTTTGATTTTTTGCATGAAAATGATGACGGGTTTTGTTGACCAGTCAATTTATAAACTATTATGTTACTGTATGCAAACTTTTAACCCTGAGCCTGATAATAATGAGCACAAAAGACTTTACAAGTTATTAGACTGTTATTAAACCAGGACCAGTGTTTAATAAGTCTTACAACTTTTTGATTTCAATATAATGGTTTAGAATAAGACAATAAAGCAGACGACAATTTATAGCAGACGATAATGTTCTTTGCATGCAAAGGGGTAATATGAGAGGCACATGCTCTGTATGTCATTTAGTAGCCAAACGGGCGTAAATTTCTAGATATTCTGAATTATATTTTCCAGGAGTCTGATGACGTCACAAGAGAACACATGGAAGACCTTGCCGAAGAAAACTTTGGCCTCCTACAATGTAAGAATATAGTTCAAGATCACTTAAATTTCTACACCAAACGTATCAATTTTCTTATATAAACTTTCTTCAACAAAAAATCTTAAATGTCAATTTTGGAATGTTCCTTTTGTCGTTTTTGTTAAAGGCGCATAATGCGTCAGAAAACTTTCTTTCAATCTAAAAGGGCAAACATGAGTTTTATAACTGTTTATAATGGTTTGAGAGTAAAGCATTTAGCATGATTATCTCCTGGGGAATGTACTGCTGAATGTGAATTGCTTGTCATAATAATAGCAAGAGTGTAACAAAGTAATACATGACTGTATAGACTTCCATTCAAAATACTGAATTACTATAAATGTACCAATTGCCAAAGACAAAAAAGCAAAATCTGGTTGAGATAATTGGCCAATGACTTATTTTTGGAAACTATAACGGGACACCAAAAATTAAAAAAAAGCTTTTGAAAAATAAAAAAAGCATTTCTAGGGCAAAATCGGCCCTTAAATGAAGTAGAGACAAGCCTGTGCTACTGTAATAGCACAAATTATTTTCTGAAATAAAGAAATACTTTCACAGAATAAAGTTAAGATAGATATATAAAGAACGTGGTTTACGACAATTCAACACGATACTTTTCAAATCACTCGGCTGTTCTAATATAACTAAATAATAAAAACTCAAAGAATCATTTGAGCCGTGCCATGACAAAACCAACGCAATGCGTTTGCGACCAGCATGGATCCAGACCAGCCTGCGCATCCGCCCAGTCTGATCTGGGTCCATACTGTTCGCTTACCAACTCTATTACAAGTAGAGAAACTGATAGCGAACAGCATCGATCCTGATCAGACTGCGCAGATGTGCAGGCTTGTCTGGATCCATGCTGGTCGCAAGCCCATTATGTCGGTTTTGTCGTGACGCGGCTCATTCCTATTTGATTACAAACTGGTCGACAATACGTGTAATCTACATATATTAAAAAATTTATCTTAAAAAGTTAAACTTTCGTGGTTTTATCTATAAGATTATAAAGCATATATACGTAGCAAAAAATAGTGCAACACCGACGATATTAACTGAGCATTTTTAGCTCGACTATTCGAATTATAGGGAGACCTACAATACTCCCTTGGCGTTGCGTCACACTATGGTTAAGTTCTTGCTCGCAAGTTTGTATCTCCAAAACTACTAAATCGAAGGGATAAAAATTAACACACTTGTTCTCGGTGATTATCTAACATGATTCTAACAAGTCCAATAACACTGGTTTGCATATTTCTTTGCTATCTATGCCGATTTTCGTCTTAAATATTCTTTTTATGCGTGAAAGCTTGTATCTCAATAAATATGGATGGAAACGTCACGCACTTATTTTGAAAGCATAAAAGGGTACTGTTCAAGGGCCATAACTTTAACATGGTTTTTGACAGATGCATGGCCTTTTTGAACTTGGAAACATTTATGGTATAGAGGCTATAACAATAATTATTATTGTCGAGCACGCTGCCCTACCAACAGCCACTTAAATAGCCGCTTCGTTCATCCGTCCATACATCTGTATTGATATACTAACTTTGTTTAAATTAATTATAAAATTTTATTTTTTTTGTTTGCAGGTGTGAATCTTCTTGCTATTCGGGACCATGTTAAAGCTATCTTGTCCAGATTTCGTCCAGGCAAATTTAAGGACTCTAAACCTGGTATGAACATTATGTTAAGTCTTCAGATTCTACCTCTGTTTTGTACATTACGATCGAAATCTTCGCAGATAACTGTTACAAAATGCTAATCTGTATTACACTTTTCACTATCCTATCTGTTGACAATAACTTTATATGTAACATACAATAAGTTATTTAAGAAAATATCATGCCTGTTTATAATAAAACATTCGATCTCTATTGTAAAACGTTATTCAATATAAATGGATCACATTCACTACTATTTCTTGCAACTTTTAGGAAATGGTCTTTTATGCTGATGTTTGGCTCGAACCTGTGCAATGCATTGTTTATAAAGCAGTTCCGTTAATAATCACTGATTTGTTCGAGATGTTTAGTTAATGTATTACTTTCCCGTTTATATTCATGCGAAAGTTCACAATTAATCATTTTAACATTTTAGTAAAAGTGTACGCCTTTATACTGGATTAACAACTTTTTCCCGAGATTTGGATTTTAAATATCTCTTGTTTAAATTCCTCTTTTGCTGTGGCTTAAATACAAAGTTAATCAACCACCTTTCAGGTGTGAGTGGGGAATTAGGAACTACAGGGCCGGAATTAGGAGAAATGACAAAGGTTCTTTGGGAAGAGGCAAAAGAACTGTTTGACTTGTGCGAGGAAACCTATGCTGACGCTTTTGAATCTGTAGAAGAATGGGAATTTGGTTTGGAAAAAGAAATAGAGGAGGAATCAGAACCAGAACTGAACGAGCGTTATTTGAATCAAATTCTGCGTCAATTGTCTAAACAGGTTAGTCTTGTTTCATTATTGGACCTTTTCGGTGTTTTACAGATTCCTACATATTAGCCATCGTCGGTTACCCACGGTATATATTCCGTACATACTACATACTTCTTGTATGTAGTATGTATGGAATATGTACCGTGGGTAACCGACGATATGTAGTATGTACGGAATATATACCGTGGGTAACCGTCTAGTATGTAGTATGTACGGAATATATACCGTGGGTAACCGTCTAGTATGTAGTATGTACGGAATATATACCGTGGGTAACCGTCTATTATGTAGTATGTACGGAATATATACCGTGGGTAACCGTCTAGTATGTAGAATGTACGGAATATATACCGTGGGTAACCGTCTATTATGTAGTATGTACGGAATATATACCGTGGGTAACCGTCTAGTATGTAGAATGTACGGAATATATACCGTGGGTAACCGTCTAGTATGTAGTATGTACGGAATATATACCGTGGGTAACCGTCTAGTATGTAGAATGTACGGAATATATACCGTGGGTAACCGTCTAGTATGTAGTATGTACGGAATATATACCGTTGGTAACCGTCTAGTATGTAGTATGTACGGAATATATACCGTGGGTAACCGTCTAGTATGTAGTATGTACGGAATATATACCGTGGGTAACCGTCTAGTATGTAGTATGTACGGAATATATACCGTGGGTAACCGTCTAGTATGTAGTATGTACGGAATATATACCGTAGGTAACCGTCTAGTATGTAGTATATACGGAATATATACCGTGGGTAACCGACGATGCAAATTGGCTGACTGGCTATCCAATCACTACACTAGGAGAAAAGTCGCTGTTTGACATGGTTAACGGTTTTATTTGTGATACTGTTTGTGAGCAATTGACAGCATTGGTTAGAAAAAACGGGGGTTATTATTCCGCCACAAAAAAATTTGGAAAGGTCCGATATCCCCGTACAGTATCGATAAAAACAACTCACCACCGTCACATATGAGGAATTGTGGCAATAATTTCAGTAATTAAACTTTATGTACCAGTTTACAGTAAAATGAATTGCAACTTTTAGTTTCTATTCCTAGCTGTTGAAATATCGGAGAAGATATTTATAAAATTACCACAATTTGGAATTAAGTAATTAGTTGGGATGAAGGAAGAAGAAAAATCTTGAAACGGCTAAAAACGAGCAACTTTTTATATTAGCCTCTAATTAACTTAGTCATTGACCTACTTTTCGTTGACACGGGTAATAATTATCCAGATTATCGAATGGTATAGGATAGTTTATGCGAAATACTGTCCTCATAAATTTTCAATGTTAGGCATTCTAATTGGACAAAAATGTGGAACAAAGATTAGATGTACTGTACATTGCTGTGCTTAAATGTACTTTCACAATTCCTCAAATATGCGTAGAGTTTTTATGTTGTTGTATTAAATGATAGCATATACATTAAATATACAGTAGATCGAATGTTAAGTATTATGTATGATATCAATAAAATACTTTAAATATTAAAAAAAAAAATCACAAAATGCAAATGAATTAACAAAAAAAAAACTTGTTTATTTCATGACACAATTGTGAATAATTATATTGATACAACTGTTTGGCAGTAATGACTTGAGACTCGTAGCTTCCTTAATTTATGATTTACGCTTAGCATTTTAATAGTACAGATCTCAATGTACCTCTGCACATGGCATAGTGTTAAGAAAGATGGTGTTTTATTTACAACAGTTTTATTTCATTTCAAGTGTTATGCTGGTAATTTTATGTTATACATATACTTTTGTACCATACATTTAAATCCGTAAGGATTACTTCGGACGTCGATTATTACCCACAAACAGTCTTTGAATATTCAAATGTCTCGGCTCAATATTGCCAACAATACACATAATGTCCAAGCTAGAAACTAGAAGACAAAGCACTTTACAACGCTTTTATATGGTGGCTGATTTGGAAAGCGTTTGTGCGTCGTGTTGGCGCTAGCGACAACAGGACAAAGCGCGCCAAATGGCGCGTTGTCGGACTTTCGTTTTTTTGTCCTGTCGCTAACGATGTACGCCAAACGGCGTGTTGTCGCAATGTCACATTGTCGCTCGGTTCAAATCGGAGGATTGGCTTAAAGCCAAGCGACAGGGCGACATCTCTGGAGACAGGACGACAAGACGACAGCGCGACAACGCGCCGTTTCGCGCTTTGTCGTGTTGTCGCTAGCGACAAGACGAAAAGGCAATAACGATATAGGTTGCGTTGTCGCTATCGACAACGCAACACGCAATGTACCAAATCAGCCACCATATTTTTACGCAGCAGTGAATTTGAGGAAAAACAATTGACCATGAACTTTGATATCAAAACATATATTGCTCAGGGAAAATATTGCATTAACATATCGTTTTTGTATTTTCAGAAGTCACGAAGAGGATGAGAGAATTAAGCTATATGTTAAATGACTTGTATTGTAATATGAAATTTACTTACATTTATGATTAAACGAGATTGTCTCTTTGCATATTTTCTTTGTCTTATTTTGTCCAGCTTTAGAAGTGTGGGGTTCTGCCAATCGGATTTTAACTTTCAACTGTTATGTTAAGTCTCTGCCATTGCGCCTGCGTCAAAGTTGGTTCAACATTTGTGTGCTTATTTTGATCTCATTTACCAATCAAATAAATGGACATTTCAAGTGTTTAGCTTTGCTAAAATTTTTAGTTTCGTCTTTTTTTATTCATTTAGCTCGATTATTCTGCAAATAGTGGAGCTAAAAATGAAAAAAGGCGAGACTAAAATTTTAAGTCACCCATTTAATGCAGACACCCATTTGTTGGCGTCGGCGTCCCTGTGGTTAAGTTCTTGCGTGTAAGCAAGTATCTCCATAACTACTGAAGAGAATGTATTGAAACTTCACACACTTGTTCTCTGTGATTATCTAACATGATTGGTACAAGTCTCAATACTCTGATTTGCTTTTTTGCATTATTATGCCCCTTTTTCAACTTAAAAATTATTGGTTTAAGTTTTTGCGTGTAAGCTGGTATCTCCATAACTACTGAAGGGAATGGATTAAAACTTAACACACTTGTTTTCTTTGATTATCTCACATGATTGGCACAAGTCCCATAACTCTTGATTTCCTTTTTCATAATTATGCCCCTTTTTCGACTTAGAAATTCTTGGTAAAGATTTTGCTTGTAAGCTGGTATCTCCATAACTACTGAAGGGTTTGTGCCTTTCTTGGGACAATTTTATGCATTCATAATAATAAAGCAGTGATTTACTCGATAAAACATCTTAAAAACAAGCCTTTGTACCTTTTCAGACAATTTTATGTATTCATATAGGTCAGCATTATATATTATACTGAATGAAACACTTTTGTGATAACTTTTTCGAATAGTCGAGCGTTACTGTCCTCCGACAGTTCTTGTTCATATTCAATATCACAAACAAAATTAATGTTTCTGTAAAGCTAACGACTTATGTATTGTTCACTCATTTACATGTTCGAATTATTGTAAGGTAAACTTACATTTGAGTGTTAATATATATCTTTTTCTTATTTTCAAATAGTTTCAAAAAAGGAAAGAAATAGAAATTTGAAATAACAAAATATATTCAAACAAAAGACAAAGTAAATAATCTGAGAAAAACAATAAAAATATAACCATAATAACATAGCAGAGCGTAGGGATCGAACCTATTATGAGTTCACATTAAAAGTTACAGTAACGTTGATTTACCTCCTGAGCCATTACGATGGTAGACATTCTTCTTTTTGAGTTACACTATATAGTAATTGACGCTTTCAATATCGAATAATATGCAGATTTACCCTTTTAATTGACTTTCCCATGTACCGTCGGACCAAATCATCCTGGGACGATACAGTCTTAACGTTGGTTCACTACCATGAACATTAATCGGATTTCCCCGCCCCCTTAATGAAATCCATAACGATTATGTCAAGCAAAACAACCATCTCCTCGGTTCTGGATATTGCTGTTTATATCCTTACAATTTACGTTAACCGGAAAGAAAGCCATACAAATTACTAGTCATAGATTACACCGGAAAAGAGCAATTCCTGTCAATGAAGACTGAATCTAAGAATAAATGTTATTTCATTTTCTATAATTTTTACTTAATCTTAATCATCGATCATTTAAGAAGTGTCAGTAAATTGGTTCTCAAGTATGAAGTCGTTAAGTGTTTTACATGACATGGTTGTTTAGTACTATATAGCAATTTCAGTTAATAGTCGACGTTTTATAAATGAAGAGAAACGAGTAATTAGATTTTATGATAACTTCGTTAGTATTTTATCCATTGGAACAAAAAATAAAAAATGTCGCCTACTTCATACGTGTGCTGATATTAACTGTGCTTAAAAACAATACTTATCAAGAATATATTAGAATCTAAGGTTCACCGGTTAAAGAAAATTACAATATTGCTTCGAATCTCATTTCCCCAGAAGAATATGTTTTTTAAGTAAATTGGCAATAAAATACCCAGTATCAAATAACCAACGATATTAATACTGATTTTCCTTCATTTTAATTAGCCATGAAGATTAATTTGCCTTCTCAAGTAATGCCTGACGTGAACATTTTCCCGACCACTGCATCATACCTTGATAACTTCTGTAATAACACGGTCAATAAAATACGGAAGATATACTATCGTATAGCAATCGTACATGAATCATTCCACATTTAATGGCATTAATTAAATGTTACTATGTTTATTGATCAGTTATGAAGTATACAAGACTTAAGGACATAGATAGTTCAATCTAGTTGTTTATTCAAAGCTTGTTTTCGACAATTGTTGTTGCAAATCAACACCGGACACTACAGGGACCGTTGCACTGTATCACTAACCGGTCAACAATATAATCAAAAAGTTTGTAGTCTGTACATTTCTAACGGCTAGATATACAGAATTAAGGGAAATGTACTGACGCTTTTTTTGTGATACATAGGTTATATAAAAATATACTTACATGAACTATAACTTCACTTGTTGAAGGTACATTATGCCCCATCTCAAATATTTGTTTAGTTATTATATTTGGTGCCATGTTATTGTTTCCCAGAAATTACTCATTTGCCATTTACGTCAACCATGTATTTTGCTAATGCTCTGTACAATTATAGTGATTATTTATATGGAAGTCAAAGTACTACTTTGATTACATTTTGCTACAGTTACGACAAATAATTTTAGATTCAGTGCCTCTTTCTTCAGGTAATAAGCTTCTTGCATGCTCAAAACAGTTATAAAAACGTTACAAAATTCACGCTTTCCCCTTTTAAATTAAGAATTTTTCGTGTATGTTGTGTTATTGCATTTTGTACAGACCCAATACAGTATTAACTGGAAGCTGTATGCCTCCAGATGAGCCAAAAGTATTTCAAGAAAATCTAAGAGAAGTGTACTAGTTTAAGATTTTAGAAAAGTAAAAGATTCAAGCAATTATTACATGCTATTGTTTGGTTTTATCAACCTGTCAATTCCATACTAATTACACGGTCAATGCACACACTATATTAATCTTCGAAAGATTTTCGGTAATTTCCGTGAGATGTACGAAGTGAGATTTGATTCAATATAATTTGTGCCTATGAAGCAATTATACAGAGCGGTATAGCGCAATAGGGTAAGCTATGGGTTAATGATTTCCAAGTGTCATACGTGTTGCAATTATTTTTGGTAAAGTCTAAACTCTTTTTAAACAATATGCTTTCAGAATTAATATTAATAAATAATTTGGATGAAAATTAGAAAATGTCATTTCAATGGCGTAATACACATTACAAATCGAGAAATGTTTCTTAGTTAATTCATATATGTAGGCAATATTGGAAGCACTCGGCCTTTCCATGAAAATTTACTGCAAAAATAAAGAAAAAGAGTAGGCCTTAAAACAATGGCAAACGTAGGGATTGAACTACAGACCCCTAATATATTAGACACTCACTCTACCGCCTCTGCTATCGCGGATTTGACAAGGCCTATGCATTAAGCTGGTGTGACTTTTCAAAACCTTCGTTATTTACTCCATATTAATTCTCGTAAACTACACGGACAGAACCGAAGTGAAATCGAATATTTAAATGAGTGCTATAATGTATTCAAAATTGACAGGTCAATTAAATCAGACTACTATTTGCAATTAATGACCAATTTTGCAGTATTTGTGACCATATTTCTACTGCGTGATAAAATCAGTAAGGGATATTTTTACATATGATTACCTCTTTTTTTGTAATTTACGCAGACTGTTTACAAGTGCCGTTTGCAACGTGTAAAATACGTTTTCTGTCCACTAAAGAAATGTTTACCTTTAAGTACACATGTACGCAGTTTGACCAATCTCGATACAGACCTAACATTTAATGTTTATCTTGATATCCCCAAAATCAATATTGAACGATTCCGAAAATGGATCTGAACAAGTTGATGGTTCTTTTCATCTTAAACAGCCCTTACTATGTATGTTATTGGGTAGCAGTAAGAAATAGAATAATAAAGTAGTACATTCAGTTAAAATTTGCAAGTACAAGAACAAAACTCTTTATTGGTAAGATAGGTTACAAACATGGTAACAGCATGACGATTTATCTAAAATATTATCAATATGCATAGGACATTCTTAATTGTCATTGAATAATCTTCAGTTCACCAATCAACAACGACAAAGCTTAAATCGGAGAGAGTTTCTAAAAAAGGCTTTTCAAGCTTCATACTCAATCTGTACAACTTATCGATTGTAAATTATCATGTAAATGAAATGTTTACAAATAAAATATTGTTTAAACTAAAGCTTATATTCTTAACCTCTAAGAACCTAAAGTGATATTAGGCTTTTGTCACCGGTATAGAAAATGACCAACCTTCTTGATCATGCATTCTAACCAGGATCTTAACTGTTGCCTTACTTTCAATTTTAAAATAGACTCTTCCAAAAATAATAGCGGTATAAGTCCATTTAAAAATGTAGTAGGTTAAAGTGAATTAGTCTATAATTGAAGGTCTGTTATACAGGAAATAATTACGTTAGTAGTATTCTGTATGAGAAATAAAAACAAACCACGAAATAATTATACACGAAATAGTTATATGGATGTTGTTGGCAAGTGAAAGATACATGATCCGATATTGCATATACAATGTATAAAAATATTGTATTGTATAATTTATATAATATATTTGTATAAGATAATAAAATGTTCTAGAACGAAATATTATCATTCATTTTATAATCACTTAGAACTTTATTAACAATTTCTTTTCAAGTAATACTTTATAAGAATATCAAAATGATACATTACATTCTTTCTGTCAATATTAGAAATAATTATAAAAATGTGCACATTGTAGACCAATCCAATTTAAGAATAACTCACTACGGTGACTCATTAAGTTACACACCGTGCATATTCATATTTGATATATGACACTGTGGAAATTGTGAGCAACAGAGTGATCAAGAATGAGTCGATGCTTCAGATTATTCATCATATTCATTTCCCCTTTATTTGACGTTTAACCTAATATGTCAAATGTTCCTGATGTATCCCCGGACGTCAGCGATCTCCGACATTTTTCATGAAGATGATCGTGATTCATGCTAGCTGGATTAAATATTGAGCTACAGAAATATTTTCATAATTGACATCGGCTCTGTTACAATTCGAGAGAGAAAACTCCTCGAGATACTAGATTGGTAATCCTTTAAGCAGTGAATTGCTGATCCCTGATCTCGAGGAGAAATTGTTTAAAGGAATTGCTTCTTGCCTTATTTCAAGTACTTGCTGCATGAATAGATCTAATATTTTCATTTGTGGTGTATAATTAATTAATCTATAGCGATGAAGCGACTTTTCACTTCTAAGACTTTTCGGTAAATCAATATAACTCTCATATATTCATTACCAGGAATAATATATGCAAACGTAAAATTTAACAGTTCATTAAAACAGTTTGTGTGTTTTTGTTTCAAGTTAAAATAAACAAACGCACAGACAAAAAAGAATATGTTTGTTTCTAGAAGTTATTGACTTATAAATGTTAACCATTATTGCCGAAAATTGTACGCTTGAAGTAAGTTACCTATTCACCGTAAGTTATTCATTGCGAGACATTGTATGGTTAAATAAGTTAAATATTCATTACCAGAAATTGCACGGTTTAAGTACTTTAACTATATTCATCGACAGAAATTGCACGGTAAAAGTAAATTAACTTCTCATTGACAGAAATTGCACGGTAAAAGTAAGTTATTCATTGCAAGAATTTAAAGCTAGTGTACAAACCTATTTCTGTTTCAAGCAAAACTAGCTGTTTATTACTAAAATTGCTTAAAATTTTCAATACTATTAAGCCAGTTGAGTTCAATCACAGGATTTACGCATGTTCAAAATAACTAAATCAAATAAACTATTCATTAGTAGCAAATAATATGCTCTGAGAAAGTTGAAAACTATTCATTACTAGAAAGACTATGTTACAAAATATAATTATGTTTCAAACAGTTACACATCATTCTCTTTTCCCTTTTTCTTCTTATTAACATAGATAATTCGATTGATACCCTGCTGTAAAATGGATGCTGATCAGTTTAATATGTCATTCGGAGAGATCAAAGAAATTTCATGGATGTAAATTAGGCCATTGAAGTGAGTTGAATCGATTTAATCAGAAGCAGATAATATAATACTGTTATTCAGCTTCAGATGAATCAGCCGGCTTCTTTGATCCTTCCGTGACAGAGTGTATTTTTTCCAGTTGGTAAAACTTTGCCAATTTGTATTCCAAACACGTAAGGGTACTAGTTTAATGCTCGATTTTTTTTTCGTCTTTTTTTTCTTTTTAAGAAAATGTAAGAATTCTTTCGGAAATAAGCATTGTTTTTTGTCAAAGATTGTACATTAGGGAATTATTAAATTGAGAGGAATCGAGCAGGTGCTCACGTGACGTGCATCTTTATGAAGGTTGCCAGAAATTATGTTTGTATGGGGAAAAATAAACTCATGGCAGCATTTAAGTAATGTAAGGGAATATGAATGCAAACTGTAATTTTTCTTCAACGAATGCTATTTATCTAATGCTATTTCTCCTTAAACAATGCCGAGACTGTGTAAAAAATACTTGATTTTACTTGAATTGAATTTTGCACTAACCATTAAAATGTTTTCGATGACGTTCAGTCCCTGACTTATTTTCCCCAAAGAACAAAAAGTGAAAAAAACAACTTTTTATTTGAAGTAAAAAAATTCTCAACGTGCTTATAAAGAAAACTGCTCAAAGCAGTTATTCCCCTTTCCAATGATAACATACCAAAGGGGAGATCACTGCACGGACATACTAAAGGGAGTTGATACAGAACGAGTACTCTTCCTAAATTTGAAATGTACAATTATAGAAAAGAATACAGATTTGTCAGTTTTTCTTCTTTTATTTTTAGAACTAAATCTACATTTATAAATATGTTTTAACAAGTCCATTTGATTCACATATACATAATAGTATTTGCAAACAACAATAACAACAACAACATCAACAAATAAATAACATATTGCACAAAACTCATCAAATCTTGTACCATAAAAACTGAAAAATATCTTACACAACATTTGGTCCAAACGATTTCTTGTCATTATTTCGGATGCTGCATTTTTATGCAAATAATATATCATCAGTTTCGTTTAACATCTTTTTAGCATCAATCGTTCGTTATTCAAGATATAAAACATAGAAAGTAATTCCTTATTGACAAACAATAAAATTTACTTAATTTAGGCCTAAATATATTAAACAATGCATTTTAGTAAGACTTTTCCATATACATATAACATGATTCCCTACCGACAATCTTCAGATTTTACTTCATTTAGTCCTTGATATATTCATAATGCTTCGAGACATAAATTTTATCTAGATCATTAACATTCATTTTGCACTGTTTCATCTGTTGCATTTCCTCTCCGTTTTGAATAAAGATTCTGTAGAGAGAGGACAGTACTGTAGCTAGCTTGTAGGCGTGCACTCTGGTCTTCGAGTCTCGTTTTGAGATTATGTAACGTCTGCTCTATCAGCTTCTTTTTCTTGTCCCCGGACAAAAGTCTAAAAATCTTCATTTGGTGTTCTCGAACCCTTTCTTCTAATATAGCCTCGTGAATCTTACGCTGGACAAATGTTTTCTCTTCTCTGAGGAGAACGACTTTTTCGTCTAGACTCAGCTCTATGTCAGCTAACGATCTTGACCTTCTTCGACGACAGATGCACTCCTTTTCAGAAATGTCTTTTCCTTTATTTCTCCTGTACTTCACAGAATTGTATCTTTTAATTGGCGGTTGGTATGAATCCGAGTTGTTGTCAGCCAGACAATTGTCAAAAGTGGAATCATTTTGACTTGGAATGAATTGTGGGAATTCGAGTATTAGCGTTTGTGTCATGGGTTCATCGTCCCATTCCAAATCACTCGTATCACTGAAATCACAGCTAGTGTCTTTATCTTTAGACATATCACTGTCACGTGATTGGTCCATATCTTGTGCTGAGACGGAATGCTTTACAAGTTCACTTAAATCGTTTGTAGATGATTCAGATACATTGGCTATGTCATTTTCCTCACTAAATTTATTTTCCGCAACTTTAGAAACGTACTTACTTTCCGAGTTTGCTCCAAATTCTTCATCAGACGACAGGAAGTCGCTGTCAGGGGATACACTTCCGTATCCGGTATCGATAGATTCTTGCATGTTATTATTCGAATCGCCAAAAGTTAATTCCACGTCCTCTTCAAGCTTCGTTTCACATGTGGCTTTGTCACCACAGTCAATCTCAGAATGATCAGGAACGTCTGCGCGGATATTGATGATGGAATTAAAGCTATCGTCACGCGGAAATGTTGAACTTTCTAAGAGATCATCGACGTTCTTTTCGTAGGCGAAATTTATCTCATACTTGACACATTTAAGGAATTCATTTAACGGTGAGGTACAACTTGAAACATCAGTTTCGTAATTTGAATCATCTTTGAGTAAACTATCTAAGGGCGAATGTATGACATTGTCAATTTCAGGTAATTTGCTCTTCTTTCTTATTGTCTTATACAGGTATTCCCCTCCGTTGTCGTAAAGTTTTTTGCTCGAACCGTCATGTATTATTCCGTGTTCTGGTATCCCAGCAAGCCCGTTAAATGAGGCCGACACTTGTTTCTCTCCCTTCAGATAATCTGAACTGTAGGGTGTTAGTAAAGGGAGAGTACTCGGCCGGTTTATATTTAAATGTTCATTCGCACAAAACTCCTCTATTTGCTGGTATTGACCTGTAAATATTTAAATAAGAACACAAATAATCTACTGGACTGGCTAATTTGGATAATGCTTATACATTTTTACCATGATTTATACTATTAGAACATTATGTGATATAATGCGATATGATTATATAATATGATTTGATGTTATAATGATATTGATATAATACAATTATGATAGATAATACGATATGACACGACACAATACAATGCAACATGTATATTAACATTGAAATAACACATAATTAGCACTAAACTGCACCACGGCACAGCACAGCGCAATACAACGCAATCATATACAATGAATAAGAAATTTTATTGCTAATTCATGTATCAAAAGCTGTGGAGTATGTACCTTGTAAGAACAAAATATTAGTAGAGCTATTTAAACACATTCTTTAAAAGCAATGATCTATAAAAGTAATTACATACGCCATTGTTTAAAGGTTATACATTACAAAAAATGGAAAGGAAAATGATCAGTAAACCTCAGTCTTATGAATTGAAACTTAGTTTACCTGTAGGACTAGGAGTTGACCTTGGTGACGGCAACCATGGATTTGTCTTTATACGGGTTCTTGACCTTGGAATGGTATTCGGAGTCCCCAAACTTCCGACGCATGATCCCGAAAACACCTCGCACGACATCTGGTTGTTATAAAGATGATCACCGATACATGCGCATTGAGAACAACTGCACGCGCTGTCAATGTCTATTTTTAGCTCTTTGAAGGGGAATCCCTTTGAACACGTATCGTCATTGGATGAACTGTCGAAAGTGTCAAACACTGTGCCATTGCTTCTACATAAAATATATCCAGGAAACTGCTCAGAAATAGCTGTTTCTGCGGCAAAATTGTCATAGAAGCACGGAAAGTTTTCCTGATACAAGTTACTATTTTTATCTAAACTGATGTCACGTGGGTAATCAGGATGATTTATCTTCGTCTTCTTCTTCTTCCTGTTTCGAAGCCTCGGAAACAGACGAAACTCGAATTGTCTAAATTTCATGTTGATTTTTTAAGACTTCAATATGTCTGAAAAAAAAAGACAAAACATCGGTTGAATATTTTATCATAATTGTGTGTCACTGAGGCCAGAGATATGGGTGGTAAACACTTTTTTTTCATAACAAAAGAAGGTAAAGAAGGTACAGGTCGGGAAGAAAATTTAATATTATTTTTTAATAGTTATGCTGGCATTTTGATGTCATTATTTTATCATCATATGATTGTTATTTTACTCTCATGCAGGTACGTATTTATTATCTTATCATCGCATTAACATCATGGTTTTATCTTTCAATTACGTTTTCAACATTGTGCATTGTACAAGGGCAACGAAAGTAATGATTTCCCTTACTGACCACCGTATATCTCGCGTAATTCAATGGAACAACTAGTGTATCCTGCGGACCGCTTGAATTAGTCATGTTACAATATGTCTCACGTGATCAAATAATTCCCTTACGACAACTTCGGCTCTGTTAAATTGGTTTTATATCCAAGACGCCTATATCCCCATCGGTGCTTTAATTGCCAGCTCATACATTTTGATGAGATGGATCAGCTCAGATTTTTACGTTACAATAATTGCGTTATACGTCTTCTCAAAGGACGCAATTATTTAATTGACTCCTAGTGGAGTCGGTAATAAAACTATAGGGCTAATAGTTATATACCACTTAAATATACGTATGGCATTTTACTAACGAGACTTTACAAAAGTTCTAGAGAAAATAATAGAAGTATAATGTTAATAATATATAACATTGCTTTAAATGAACACACCAGTATTTTGAGGCTTATGTAATTGAATAATTTGCCAGTTTTGAGTGGTGTAATAAAATAAGGAGGTGTATTTGCACAAAATGTATGAAAGTCGTTTCCTATTAAAATTCATAATTTAGTAAGAGAATACTACAAGAAAAGCATTGATGCAAAGCATCAAAGGGCGTCCAAGCAAGAAATGCAGCAAGTGAAGATGAACTAGTACACATATGATGACAAGATATTCTTATAAACTACCAGAAATGTATACCACTTATGAATGAGCGGACGAAAGACATTGTTCATTATGAACTTTGATTGGCATGCTAGAGATTAGAATATTACTTGTTATTTCTTTATGATCGTGGTTATTAATAGCAACGGATATACATGTATGCAATCATTTATAATCCATATGTGTAACGCATGATCAACACGTACCACACATTTGTCCCTTATTATGTACATGTTATCGCTATTAGCGAAGACCCCCTTAAGGTATCTGTTCACACTTTAAGTTAGTAAAAATATGACACTGGTTATATTACCATGTTGATCATGTTGAGCATAATTGTTTATTATACAATAATTGTAATATCTATTAATTTTAATTTAAAAAAATACAAATTTTATGAATATTGTTTTCTTTTATTCTTTTTTGTGTTTATGTGCTATTTTAATACTGAGTTTTTACTACTCTTTTTTATTAAAATTGTAAAATAAATTTTAAGAATTCAATTGTCATATTGACCGACGATGATAAGTCAAAGCTTAACTGGAAAAAGTCAGTAAATTATGGTTTATCTTTCAATACATAATAGTGTTTATTCTTAAACCATGTACATGTACATTGTATTTTTCTTTATCATTTTTTAAATTATCGATCAATTGAATAATTCATAAAATCTAATTTGTAACTTTGAATAATTCCACGGCATCTTTACTAAACACGGATAACAAATTGAATAATTAAATAAAATGTTTCAAAGTTGATAATGTCATTTTAATACCATAAAAAATGTACCTTTTTCTCAATTATTGTACATATCACGGATTTATATTACATATAAATCCGTGTACATATTTATTGTTTTTATCTCATATAGATAAAATGAAACATGCTATTGTTGTTTTTTTCTAATTGTAACGATATCAAACATCTACTCCAAAACCGGGAGAGACCGGACAATATAACGTGTGGTACTATTCGCCGGTCACTAGTAAATCCTGGTCAAAATAGACCGGGAGAGACCGGCATTTACCGATAGGAGTGATAAAAAGATATATCTATAAATAGGTTTTTGGAATATTTAGGTCATCAACTGATCATTCTAGGATACATGTACAACAATAACATACCATGACATGATAACCGACTGTGTACTACAAAATGATAAATAAAAAACCCCGAAGAGCGCGATTTATTGACGGAAAAGGTTATTTCATTTGTAAATGTTTGCATTGCGAAAATTCATTGTAACATATCGCGACATTTCATTCTTATTTAATAATCAAGCACCCTCATACCGATCGGAATTTTCGGCTTTTATTATGACCGACTAAAAGGCTCGAGAAGTTGCTGTCGCCCTTTCACAAAATCTGATCTCATTCCATAAGAGCGCCGCGCTTCGGCGCGGACGCCAATAAACGCCATTGTTGCCGGCATTGTAGCGTGTCTTTAAGTTTTTGATCTTGTGCTATGCCTATGCTATGCGATGTGCAGTGATTGATTATAATATGCCTATGTTTTTATGATATATCTATGCTT